ACCATGACAACTGCTTTGGTAGTTAAAATACTATATGCAAAGGATACCAGAAAAACAAAGGAATGAATGTAAAGTGACTTGTCTTCAGTGTGAATGTTCCACACATGCATTACACAGGCTAAGCATGCTTTATAGAGGTCTTAGGCTCGCCTTGCAACAGCCCTGCCACTCCAGGATGGGCCTCTTTCCTGAGCAGACACTGTCCATCGAGCCAAATAGTATGATTATTTTATAATATGGATATATGTGGACTGGGGACTAAATTAAGGGCATTAAACTTAATTTCCATAAGACATGAGCCAGATTTTAATATTGCAGCTGTCCAGAGGTGAAAGGGTAATGAGGACATAAGGAATTCCTGGACAGGAAAGGGACACTTGGCCCAACAAATCTGTCCCCCTTCTAGTTTATTACAACACACCTCCCAGCATTGTTGATATATCCTCCAGCCCCGTCTGCCTATATAAACATGTCTGGCTATCCCTTCTGTTCATTAATACTTCAGCTCACTTGGTGGTTTTATTTGACGTAATGCCTACTACGCTGTGAATTGGATAGCTCCACATGAATTTACTGTTTATTTTTAGACTTTTCTTTTTTAATTGCCATTTTTTTTTCTTTTAAACTCACCAGATACAACCGCTACATCTGTTTTCATCCTGATTATGAAAATGTTAATATTTAAGGTGTTTTTAGAAAGGATTAGGTTCAGCCTTCATTTATATCAAGCAACTTTAACGGCCAGAAACAATGATTTCTTCTTCTCTTATTCCTATTTGAGTGATTGAAGTTCTCTGGAAAAGGTGATCAAAATGAGAATTATTGGAGAAAAATCTAACATGTTTCTTGTGCAATAACAGTTCTTTTGATTTGCAGGCTGTCCTTTGCTGGAATGTCCATATCACACTTTATTTATACTGAATTGGCATTGATTCAAATTGATGTTTGAGGACTCAGTACAATTTTTAAGGTGGAATGTGACTTTTGGTAGTCAAATTATTTTTTATGATTATCTCCTAAAGTCAAGATACAGCTTTGAAAGCTGGTGGTAGAGAAATCAATGCTACAAAGATTTTTAAGTGACCTTATTTATTAAAAACGATTTCATTTTAAATTTTGTGCTTGCAAAGTTGAAACTGAATTAGCATAGAGATTCTTCCTCAGAATGCTGTCATATAAAAAACCCTGGGGTTTTCCTTCCTCCGAGGCAACTCAAAGGAGATTGTCATTAGGGATCTGAACACAAACATGGGGAAAGAAATGCAACTCACAAATAAACCTGCAGGATTTTGAAATTTCAAAGAACAATAGGCTGGTGAAACAAAAGTACTCTGGGTGAAGTATAAAGCAGGAAGCAGGCAAAGAAGATAGCTGTGATGCAATATTGAGAAAAGACTCGTAGACTTGGTGCTTAAGTACGTTGAAATCCCAAAAGACTAATGTGTGTACAATTACTTCTGGTATCTAACTACACTAGCTTGTTTAGGAAGGTGACTTGCATTTATGATGAATAGAAGGTTTGATTTTTTTTTTTATATTTTCCACAAAAAAATAAAAGAGGCACTGGTAGCAAGGTTGTTTAGGGGAAGAAATTCTGTACTTTGTTGAGAAACACTGAGGTTTTATTCAGGAACTAAAATAAAATGGCAGTGCTGGGTGGAGAGAGAACTTTGAGAAACTTGGAAACGGAAGAAAAAGAAGAAATCTTCTGGTTTCAGGCAGGTGAAGAAACAGTTGTAACAGAGAGGAAAACATGGGCATGTAGATGGTGAATTCAAAAAAATAATCAATGAACAGTATCTAAGTGGCATTGAAAACTTCACGTTTATATCCAGGTTTCACAGTGATTAAGAAAATCCTGCAAAAGTCCCAAGAAAATTTACCTTTGAATTTGGAGGATTGAATTCAACCTTGGGCCTGGATAGGATTGCTCTGGGCAATAAAGGATATAAAAAACTTTTCCCATGGTATCTGTTGGACATAGGGTTTGTTTTTTTTTTTTCCTAGAATCCTTGGTTTTTTTTCATTCCTTGTCTAAAGGCAGTTCTGCAAAAATTGAGTGTAGTGTAGTGACTACCACAATATCAGACTGCTCTTTGGTGAGGGTTCCTGCATAAGGATAATGAAAAGAATAATTGGTGAAAAATGTGCTGTAAGCTGAATTCTCAGTCTTTGTACAGTTCTGATAAATACTCATGAGGCCAAATTTTTTGGTCTTGGTGTCAAAAGGTGGTCCATTAAAGTGAATGAAGTAGATATGACAGCAAAGCCAAGAGAGTTTGGCTCTAGTGTTGGACAAGTTGTTTGAAGTAACATGGATGTAAAAGTTGAGAAAAGTAGTAGACACATAGAGAGCAGAGCCTATTCTTAACTAATGCTATGTTTTATTTAAATACATGTTGAAATTTTGTGTAGTTACTGTCAAGGATAAAATGACTGCTAAAAAGTCTTCAGTTAAACAATATCAGATGCTGGAGGTTTTCAGCCCTGTTTAGCATTCTTTTAAATTTCGTCTTTTTAATCAAAATTTATTGGAGGACAGATTCTTCTGTTAGGCAAAGTATCTAACCATTGGACTTCAGAGTCTTGTTCTTGCTTTCTTTTCCTTTCTGCCACCTTCCTGTCATGGATCCTGTCCCTAGGGAATATAAAAGAAATCCCACTGGGAGTGAGTTTCAGGGTCCCAGCTGGCATCTCTGCTTTTTTTCAGGTCCCCAAAACTCCTCCAAGTTTTAGGAGACCCAGGCCGTTTTAAAGGAGCACACAGATTTGTGTTTCTTAGTGAAGAGACACTCTTGTAAACAAGATTTAGGAGCCATAATCTCTTCCCTGCTTCTGAAAAAGCATCAGAAGGGCTGTGAAGCTCCTCCTACACAGACCTGAGCTGCGGCAGCACTGAAACGAGCCCTGAGGCTCTTGACTTGTACCTTGGTCAGCTGGTTACACTGAGCTATTCTGGACAGGTTTGTCATTCTTGGGGCAGAAAGCGATGGGCAGTGCTTCAAAACTACATGGGGTTTGGGTTCAAGGGAAACAGGATTAGCTTTGTTATCTGACCCTTACGGTAAAAGCATGAGGTAGCCATTGCTGGGGTAAAAGGTCTTACCCAAACACTTATCCATTATATTAGGATAGAAAAAGGGTGTTTCATTTATTCAGTTATTTGATTTAAAAAGATTTGTTAATCTCCTCTAAACTTCCCATCTTCTAATGATTAGAAAGCTCAAAGCATTCTCTTGCCTATTCCTTCCCTTTTCCTGGAACTCCATTTCCTCCTTGAGCTCTTCCCTTCTCTCTGATCAGCAGTTAGCTCTCCCTCTGCCCCTCATGTAACACCCTTCACCATTTCTTTCCATCCCTCTGCCTATGTGGAGCATGTTTCCATATTTTCCACTGCATCAAAATAAAACCCCCATTTACATTGCTTTATCAGCTTTGTGCTCCAGCACAGCAGCACATTCCTGGCAGTGCTGATGTTGCATTTGCTGTTGATCTGGATCTTGCATTTATAACTGGTGTTAGACAACTGTTGTTAAAGCCCCTGTAACTTTTGTGTTCCTGGCACATTTTGGTATACTACTTTTGGTACTCTGATTTAACTCTTTTACATAGATTAGAGACAAGACAAGCTCCTAACCTGACCAAAGCACTACCCTGTATTAACTGCCAATCTCTAAGTCATTCCTTGAATGCTGTTTTTAGACTGTTATCAGTTCATTAAAGTTTGTTATTATTTATGCAGTGGCTTTGTACCTTGCCAGTAATCTCCAATGTCGGATCTTATCAAACTCTTTTGAAATTCTAGGCATATTGTATACCATTCATAGTATTTTTCTTGTCTGCCTTGGCAGGGATATATTTGAAGAATTCCAACAAATTATTTTAGCAAGATTTCCTGTTCATATATCCACATTGGTTAACTCTACTCAAATTAGGATTTTCAGCTCATTTCCTCATTAAATCCTGCAAAACTATTCCTATTCTATTTTTCATGGCTATGAATTCTGTTATGTTAATTTCTTTATATTATGACTTAAAAAAAATTCATATGTATAGATACTTTGCATATGCATGTGTACACAAAAGTCTGTATATGTAATGGAGGTTACACTGAAGTATACTGGGCTTTAAAGCCGAATATTTTAAAATAGTTAATGCACTAAAAAATGCAAAGGATAGAGTTAGGAACAGATATTTGGCTGGAGTAAATGAATTTGACTTTGAATACATTTTGCTAACTTAAATGGTGTTAACTTGATTTATGTGAGATGAGGACTTAACCCTTAAGCACTGCACTTGCTTTACTTCATTGCCAAGAGATCAAAATGACTGTTGGGAAGCTTCTTAACATTTCTGATTTATTACAGATCTCTGTCCACATTTTGTATGGATTTCTTTGGCTCAAGAATTATACATTTATTTGCTGCTGCAAAAACAGTTCTTAATGTTTTATTGAGTTCTATGCATTATATAATACTGCGTTTCAGATTAGCAGTTTCTTATGCTTTATTTTTTAATTATTTTACTGTTTTAGAATGTTTACTATCCTTCCCAGCTTTCTGTTCACATCTGTAGATCTTTCTATTACAATGAGGAACTTGGCAATTTTTGGTAAATACAGTAAGTAGTTTATTAATATTAGATTCATGCTTAGTTTGATTGTAATATTGGAAAAGTACCCCTTTAGAACTGAAAATAGTTCCTCCCCTTGAACTGAAACCAGGTGAAAAATTTAAGACTAACCCAAATGAAATTTGTATTATCTAGTTCTTACTGGGCCTGTTCCTTAGGTGCTGCAGTTTGGGTGCCACAGTCCTGTATAAATAGGGTCTCTGCCTCCTGTGGTGTTCAGGTCTCTCTGTTGAAGTGTGATTCTTCGCATGAACTACAGTCTGGCTTGTAAAGCATGGCAAAGAACAAGCAGTGGAGTATTGTGGTTATGGTTCCAAACAGAAAATTTTTTTCCTGTAAAAGTAAATCTTATTTTTTCCAAGGTTTGTTTTGTTTTTTTTTTTTTTAATGAAAACTGGGTTTCTCCCTGAAAGAGGATTAATTTTTATGAAAAGAATGAATATGGTTTTAACCAATGAGAAAGCAAGACTGCTAGGAAAGGTTTTGACCAACCTGGGACCAGCCTTCTCATTATAGAAATATGGGATGGAAATTGGATATAAGAGATTAGAGCTTTCTCTACAAGCCAAGGAAACAGTAGGGAAAACAATATTCATTTATGTCAGGAAGGTTTTAGGGACACCACAGGCTCTGCATGCGTTACTTAGCAGCCTGGTAACACACCAAATCCTGTGGTGGTTCCTAACATCTGCCACACCAGGGTTAGACCTCTTTCTTTCAATAGCAGATGAAAAGTCTTCAGTGTTGTACAAAGCGCAGCATCAGCCAGAGTGCTTGTTTCCACACAAGTTTATGATGAAACTGTGTGTCCAGCCCACAGGAAAACCCAGTCAATTTTAGTATTGGTCTGAAAGAGACCTGAAAGATGAAGACCTCAGCTTTAACAAGCTTTGGTGGTTGCTGCCCACTCTTCTTGATGGAGCTATTCCATCTTGAGGGAGAACTGCATTTTAAGTACCTGTTCCCACGTCTGTTGATTATATTAAATACCTAATATATGGAACTGGAGACTTATTTTCTGGTCATGGGACTGCACGAGGTCAATTCCATTTATAAACTGCTAAGCCCTTGGTTTGGTATGCCAGGAACAAAAATATCTAAAGGAGAAACTATATTTGTAAGTCCTGAAAGATAAGGCCCCATCTTTGAAATCCAGTCAGAAGAACTTTTTAATAACTACAAAACACCCCTCACAAAAGCATATTTATTTTCCCCTAGTTCACTGCTATCAGATTGTCACTATTGTGTGTTATTGTCACATTTCCCCCCCACCATTGGTTGTGTCAATACTTTTATTGTTCATAAGTTTTTTGTCTTTGAATGAATAATAAGAGCACATTCTGATGTTCTTGATTGTTCTTTTGACCCAAGTATATTTACTTTGTGAAACTCCCAAGCTTTTCTCTCTAAGAATGTTTTTTATTGATTTATCCTTTAAAACTATGAAGATTTTTATGACAGTGAGGCTTGAAGCTCCTATCATTAATTTTAAAAGTTTAATTGAAATTAATCTTAATTAAAGTTATATTTTATAATTAAAATTAATTTTATAACAATATACATGCTTAACTCCAAGTATGGGGCTCAGCACAGCTACGGGTTGCTCAATGGACTAATAGCAATGCAGCTACAAACTTTGTTAGCTTCCACATAGTTATCATACCAATCAACACCAGAATAATTAAATTCATCCATTATCAAATTCTAGTCTTCTTTATCAGCTTTTCTCCCACCAGTAATTTTGTTGTCTTAATCTGGTTTCTTCCCTGAAATCTATGGCAATCTTGGAATTTCACCAGATAATCTTCCCTTTCTTTTTCATTAAGTTCCCTAACCCAAATTATTTAATGCCAAAATCTGAAGTCTTTAAAGAAGATTCCACCAAAGGGAAGTTTGATCAAACCATATTTTGCTTTACTAGAGACTACTAATTTTATCTTGTTGTGCCCTTGAATGAAAGCCTATACATGTAAGTATTTGAAATTGCTATTAATTTTGTTGATTCATTCTCTTATTAATTTTCTTTCCAACTATTTGGAATTAAACTTAGCTAGATAAGAATTAAACTTAGCTAGAGGTATTAAAGATAACAAGAAGGTGTTCTACAAGTACATAGCAAATAAAAAACAGACTAGGGAGAATGTAGGCCCCCTCAGGAAGCTCTCAGGAGAACTGGCTACACAGGATTTGGAGAAGGCTGAGGTTCTGACTGACTTCTTTGCCTCGGTCATCACTGGCAAAGGCTCTGACCAAACCACCCAAGTCTTGGAAGGCAGATGCAGGGACTGTGAGAATGAAGACCCTAGGCCCACTGTAGGAGAGGAACTGGTTCGAGACCATCTTAAAAATCTGAACGTGCACAAGTCCATGGGTCCTGATGAGATCCATCCACGGGTCCTGAAGGAGCTGGCAAATGAAGTTGCGAAGCCACTGGCCATCATATTTGAGAAATCATGGCAGTCAGGTGAAGTTCCCGACAACTGGAAAAAGGGAAATATAACCCCCATTTTCAAGAAGGGGAAAATGGATGACCCGGGGAATTACAGAGCAGTCAGTCTCACCTCTGGGCCTGGCAAAATCTTGGAGCAGATTCTCCTGGATGGCATGCTAAGGCACATGAAAATCAACAAGGTACTTGGTGACAGCCAGCATGGCTTCACTAAGGGGAAATCCTGTGTCGTGGTTTAAACCCAGTCAGGTAACTTTTTCACTCACTCCCAGTGAGTGGTGCCGAGCTGACAACAATCGAGGTCTGTGTCCCCCCCCCCCCCTCCCCACCGGGGCTCTCCGCTTCCCCGCTCCCGGAGGAACGGGGAGGAGGATCGAAAGAGTGCAACTCCTACGGGTTGAGACAAGAACAGTCCAGCAACCAATGTACACAAATCACCACCGCTACTATCAACTACAACAATGATAAGGGAAAATAACAAAGGAAGAGAATACGATACCACTGGCCAAGAAAACGAGTTCCACCCGGAAGCCCGTGTCCTTCCGGGTAACTCCCAGTTACCCCCCACCCCGGGCATGACGTGCTGTGGTATGGAATACCTCCAGGGCTAGCCCGGGTCAGGCGCGCCATCCCTGCTTCCTCACAGCTTCCCCTCCTCCCTGGCAGAGCATGAGCCTCACAAAGTCCTTGGTCAGGGTAAACATCACTTAGCAACAACCGAAAACATCGGCTTCACCAACACTGTTCTCAGGCTAGAAGTCAAAACACAGCACTGCACCAGCTAACACAAAGGAAAAACATGACTGCTACTGCTGAACCCAGGACATTATCCACCCCTTATTCCATACCATTCACGTCGCGCTCAGATCCCACATTTTCAATACACCATCGCTCTCCCACATATATACATCCATATACATACAGACCAAGAGGAAAAGATCATTTTCTTAGTGCATGGACCAATCCCTTTAATTCTGCTGAGTCCATTCGGCCCATGATGTTCAAAGTTCATTCTCTGTTGGGATGATGGCTGGAGGGAAGTCAGGGCCAGTCGCTGGTGACCTGGAGACATCTAGTTGATGGGCTATAATAGTATTACACAGCAGGCAACAGCATACAATTGAGTTCACTGGCTGTTTTCCCCTAAAATCAAATCCCCTTGAGGTATACATCGGACTTCCCCATCTTCCCGCATTACCCACCAAGTATATCCAGGTCCCTGAGCAAAAGCAATCCCACGAGTGGGTTTGACTTTACCTGAAGCAGGAATAATCCAGACTGTCTTCCCCAGCAAATTCTTCATATGCACCATGGGAACTTTGTCTCCCTCTACAATATGTAAAAGTTCTGACTGGGCTGGGCCGGCCCTGTTGGCAGATCCTCTGGTGTTGACCAACCAGGTGGCCTTTGGTAAGTGTGTATCCCAATGCTTGAAAGTTCCCCCACCCATTGCTCTCAGTGTAGTTTTTAACAGCCCATTGTACCGTTCGATTTTCCCAGAGGCTGGTGCATGGTAGGGGATGTGATATACCCACTCAATGCCATGCTCTTTGGCCCAAATATCTATAAGCTTATTCTGGAAATGAGTCCCATTGTCTGACTCAATTCTCTCTGGGGTGCCGTGTTGCCACAAAATCTGTTTCTCAAGGCCCAGGATAGTGTTCCGGGCAGTGGCATGGGGCACAGCGTATGTTTCCAGCCACCCGGTGGTTGCTTCCACCATGGTAAGCACATGGCGCTTGCCTTGGCGGGTTGGTGGCAGTGTGATATAGTCAATCTGCTAGGCCTCCCCATATTTATACTTCAACCATCGTCCTCCATACCAAAGAGGCTTTAACCGCTTGGCTTGTTTAATTGCAGCACATGTTTCACGCTCATGAATAACCTGGGCAATAGTGTCCATTGTTAAGTCCACCCCTCGATCACGGGCCCATCTATATGTTGCATCTCTGCCCTGATGGCCTGAAGTGTCATGGGCCCACCGGGCCAAAAATAATTCACCTTTATGTTGCCAATCTAAGTCCATCTGAGCCACTTCAATCTTAGCCGCTTTATCCACTTGTTGGTTGTTCTGGTGTTCCTCAGTGGCCCGACTCTTGGGTACATGGGCATCTACATGACGTACCTTCACCACCAGGTTCTGCACCCGGGCAGCAATATCTTTCCACAGTGCAGCAGCCCAGATGGGTTTACCTCTGCGTTGCCAGTTGCTCTGCTTCCATTGCTTCAACCACCCCCACAGGGCATTTGCCACCATCCATGAGTCAGTATAGAGATAAAGTACTGGCCACTTTTCTCGTTCAGCAATGTCCAGGGCCAGCTGGATGGCTTTCACCTCGGCAAACTGACTCGATTCACCCTCTCCTTCAGCAGTTTCTGCAACTTGTCGTCCAGGACTCCATACAGCTGCCTTCCATCTCCGATGCTTTCCCACAATACGGCAAGAGCCATCAGTAAACAAGGCATACTGCTTTTCACTTTCTGACAGTTTATTATATGGTGGGGCCTCTTCAGCACGCACCACCTCCTCCTTTGGTGACATTCCAAAATCTTTGCCCTCTGGCCAGTCCATGATGACTTCTAGAATGCCTGGACAACTGAGATTTCCTATTCGAGTTCGTTGTGTAATTAGTGCAGCCCATTTACTCCATGTAGCATCAGTTGCATGATGTGTAGAGGAGACCCTGCCTTTGAACATCCAGCCCAGCACGGGCAACCGGGGTGCCAAGAGGAGCTGTGCTTCAGTGCCAATCACTTCCGAAGCAGCTCGAACCCCTTCATAGGCTGCCAGTATCTCTCTCTCAGTTGGGGTTTAGCTGGCCTCAGATCCTTTATATCCCCGACTCCAAAAGCCGAGGGGTCGACCTTGAGTCTCCCCTGGAGCTTTCTGCCAGAGGCTCCAGGTAGGACCGTTCTCCCCAGCTGCAGTGTACAGCACATTTTTTACATCTGGCCCAGTCTGGACTGGTCCAAGGGCTACTGCATGAACTATCTCGCATTTAATTTGCTCAAAGGCTTGTTGCTGCTCAGGGCCCCATTTAAAATCATTCTTCTTCCGGGTCACATGATAGAGAAGGCTTACAATCGAACTGTAATTTGGGATGTGCATTCTCCAGAACCCCACTGCACCCAAGAAAGCTTGCGTTTCTTTCTTATTAGTTGGTGGAGACATTGCTGTTATCTTGTTGATCACATCTGTGGGGATCTGTCTACGTCCATCTTACCATTTTATTCCCAAAAATTGAATCTCCTGTGCAGGTCCCTTGACCTTACTCTGTTTTATGGCAAAACTGGCTTTCAGCAGGATTTGGATTATTTTCCTCCCTTTCTTAATGACTTCTTCCGCTGTATCGCCCCACACAATAATGTCATCAATGTATTGCAGGTGTTCTGGAGCTTGCCCCTGTTCCAGTGCAGTCTGGATCAGTCCATGGCAAATGGTAGGGCTGTGTTTCCACCCCTGGGGCAGTCGGTTCCAAGTGAACTGGACACCCCTCCAAGTAAAAGCAAACTGTGGCCTGCACTCTGCTGCCAAAGGAATTGAGAAAAATGCGCTGGCAATATCAATCTTGGCATACCACTTGGCTGCCTTTGACTCTAGTTCATACTGAAGTTCTAGCATGTCCGGTACGGCAGCACTCAATGGTGGTGTGACTTTATTCAGGCCACGATAGTCTACTGTTAGTCTCCATTCTCCATTAGACTTTCGCACTGGCCATATGGGGCTATTAAAGGGTGAGCGGGTCCTGCTGATCACCCCCTGACTCTCCAGTCTACGGATCAGCTGATGGATGGGAATCAGGGAGTCTCGGTTGGTGCGATATTGCCGCCGGTGCACTGTTGCGGTCGCAATTGGCACTTGTTGTTCTTCAACTTTCAGCAACCCCACAGCAGAGGGATCTTCTGAGAGACCAGGCAAGGTGGACAGCTGCTCAATTTCCTCAGTCTCCAAAGCAGCAATACCAAAAGCCCACCGGTACCCTTTTGGGTCTTTGAAGTACCCTCTCTTGAGGTAGTCTATGCCGAGGATGCATGGAGCCTCTGGACCAGTCACAATAGGGTGCTTTTGCCACTCCCTCCCAGTCAGGCTGATTTCAGCCTCCAGCACAGTCAACTCTTGGGATCCTCCTGTTACTCCAGAAATATAGATGGGTTCCACCCCTTGACAGCTTGATGGCATCAGGGTACACTGTGCACCGGTATCTACTAGAGCCTTATACTTCTGTGGGACTGATGTGCCAGGCCATCTGATCCACACAGTCCAGTAAATCCGATTGTCCCCTACCTCCACCTGGCTGGAGGCAGGGCCCCTCTAATTGTCGTCACAGCATTGGACACTTAAGTCGTGGTGAAAGGGATTATTCTTCGTTATCACAGGAGCTGGAGTAAAATCATCTCTTCCATTCCATCTGGGAAACTGCTCACCAGAGACTGAAGCCGTAGCTCTCATGGGACGATCAGTCTTGGCCCTTGGTCCCCTCTTCAGTTCACTCACCCGTTCCTCCAAAGCTGAAGTAGGTTTTCCATCCCACTTTGTCATGTCTTCTCCGTGGTCCCTCAGGTAAAACCATAGGGTACCCGGTGGCGTATACCTCCTGTATCTCCTCTCTTGAACAATAGGACGCCTTTTGTTAATAGCTGAGATGTGTATTGGTACACGTGAGGAGCTGGATAAATCAGATAGATCGTCCCTCAATTGTTCGAGGTCCTGGGACAGTTTTTTCACAGCTGAGATGATGGAAGGGGTGAGATTGTCTTCGAACTCTCGGAGTTTATGAACCATTTCATCCACTGTTAGTGGTACTATGTCATTCCAGGTTACTGTTGCCAATGAATGGGCATATGATGACGGTGCATTCCATGTAAGTTTTCGCCACATGGGTCGTGTACATTCAAGTTCATCTGGATCTATAGGTGTATCCCTGTTATTCGGCTTGATGTGATAGAGCATCTCTACGATGGCCGATTCCCTCAGAGACTGGATGCCTTTGTCTATAGTAGTCCACTTGGCCGAACGACTCGTAACATCGTCCTTGTACGGAAACCTTTCTTTCACAGCTGCCAAGAGCCGCCTCCAAAGGCTGAGGGGATTTTTCTCTCTTGCAATTGCTTTGTCAATTCCCCCTTCTCTAGCAAGTGATCCCAGCTGCTTGGCTTCTGTACCTTCTAGTTCGTGACCATCGGCCCCATTGTCCCAGCATCGGAGTAACCAGGTGATGATGTGCTCCCCTGGTTGACGGGTAAAATCTTTTCGCATATTCCGCAGCTCGGTTGAGGTCCGAGGTCGAGAAGTTACCTCTTCTTCTTCTTCTTCTTCGTCATGTGATGATGACTCCTGATCAGATTCTGGACCGGGTGGTGAATTCGTTGTTTCTTCATCTCGCTTTACCCTTTTTGCCTCCTTTTTGCTTGTTCTCTTGTGTACAGGGGCAACCGATATTGGTACGAATTGGTCCTCTGGTTTGGCTGCAGTGATTATCACTGTGGTTTGAGTAGCGACTGTACTTGTTGCTGGGGGTGGTGTAGCTGCTGTGCTTGGAGCTGGGGTAACCGTGCTGTCTGTTGCAGTTGAAGTTTGAGCAGCTGCTGTACTTGCCACTAGGGTAGCTGCTCTGTTCATTGAGGCCAAAGTTTGAGTAGCGACTGTACTTGTCGCTGGGGTTGGTGCAGCTGCTGGGCTTGGAGCTGGGGTAACCGCGCTGTCTGTTGCGGTTGAAGTTTGAGCAGCTGCTGTACTTGCTGCTGGGGTAGCTGCGCAGTTCATTGCAGCCAAAGTTTGAGTAGCGACTGTCGCTTTGCCCTCAGATCCGCCGACATTCTTTTCCTTTTGAAGGTGCTGGATAGTGTTGAACAAGGCCCTGTAAGCATAGGCCAAGCCCCAGCATGTTGCCATGATTTGTCCATCTCTGGTATGGCCAGAATGACCACACACCTCATTTAAGTGTTTTACTAATTCTTCTGGATTTTGCAGTTGTTCGGTAGTGAAATTCCAAAGTACTGGAGGGGCCCACTGACCTAGATACTTGCCCATACTATCCCACACACCCTGCCACTCATGGCTGTCCAGCCTCAGGGAAAATCTCTTGGTCCTCCCACATCGTCGTTTGACCCCAGACAAGACCCAAACCTGACTCTGCTTAACTCTTGAAATCAGTAGTGGGCAAAACACACTCTGTATGCGTGTTAGCATGGTGATTCCCATCACCATCAGCAAACAAGTCTCAACAGCATTAAAAGGCCATTCAAAAAATTCAAAACTCTCAAATGTAAATAGTCTGGGGGAACGACTGGGAGGGTAAAGAGATTTGGTGGCCTTCTATGATGGGGCTACAGAACTGATGGACAGGGGTAGAGCAGTTGATGTCATCTACCTGGACTTGTGTAAAGTGTTCGACACTCTCCCACATGACATCCTTGTCTCTAAACTGGAGGGACATCAATTTGATGGATGGACCACTCGGTGGATAAAGAACTGGCTGGATGGCCGCACACAAAGAGTTGTGGTCAAAGGCTCAATGTCTGTCTGGAGACCAGTAACGAGTGGCGTCCCTCAGGGATCGATGTTGGGACCGGTCTTGTTCAACATCTTTGTCGCTGACATGGACAGTGGGATTGAGTGCGCCCTCAGCAAGTTTGCTGATGACACCAAGCTGTGTGGTTCGGTTGATACTCTGGAGAGAAGGAATGCCATCCAGAGGGACCTTGACATGGTTGTGAGGTGGGCTGATGCCAACCTTATGAAGTTTAACCATGCCAAGTGCAAGGTCCTACACCTGGGTCGGAGCAATCCCAGGCACAGCTACAGGTTAGGCAGAAAAGAGGTTCAGAGCAGCCCTGTGGAGAAGGACTTAGGGGTGTTGGTTGATGAGAAAATGAACATGGGCCGGCTTCAGTGTGCACTTGCAGCCCAGAAAGCCAACCGTATCCTGGGCTGCATCAAAAGGAGCGTGACCAGTAGGTTGAAGGAGGTGAACCTGCCCCTCTACTCTGCTCTTGTGAGACCTCACGTGGAGTATTGTGTGCAGTTCTGGTGTCCTCAACATAGAAAGGACATGGAACTGTTGAAACAAGTCCAGAGAAGGGCCATGAGGATGATCAGGGGACTGGAGAACCTCCCATATGAAGACAGGCTGAGAAAGTTGGGGCTGTTCAGCCTGGAGAAGAGAAGGCTGCGTGGAGACTTCATAGCAGCCTTCCAGTATCTGAAGGGGGCCTATAGGGATGCTGGAGAGGGACTCTTCATTAGAGATTGTAGTGATAGGACAAGGGGTAACGGGTTAAAACTTAACCAGGGGAAGTTTAGATTGGATATAAGAAGGAAATTCTTTCCTGTTAGGGTGGTGAGGCACTGGAATGGCTTGCTGAAGCAAGTTGTGAATGCGCCATCCCTGGTAGTGTTCAAGACGAGGTTGGACGAGGCCTTGGGTGATATGATTTAGCGTAAGGTGTCCCTGCCCACGGCAGGGGGGTTGGAACTAGATGATCTTAAGGTCCTTTCGAACCCTAACTATTCTATGATTCTATGATTCTATTTCCATCCAATGTATCTAATAATTATTAGAAATGAGACAAGAACCAAATGCCTGCATCCATGCATCCTCTGAGATTCGTGGTTCATACACATCTTTAATTAATGTAAATATAAGCATGGAACTTTCCCAAACTAATACTAAATTCTTTGATGTAATGTTCTTGCATATTTTTCTGTTGTAGTTTTGGTCAGGAGTTGCTTCTTGAGAAAAGCCTTGCATAACATGAAGCTTCATGCTCTTCTTAAACCTGATACCAAATGACGAGCAAAAGAAAAAGGGAAAGATTCCTGCTCCCTTTTATCCTCCTGCAAATCACTCCAACTGCTTTCATCTGTTCATTACTCTATAAATGCACCACCTTCCAAAATAAACTCACTGTTGAGCTAAGGGAAAAAGTGGGATACAAAAATTTGGGGTTATGATGAATTGAAGTGATGATCTTAGAAACTCATAAGCATTAATTAATTAAACCTTACTAGAACCAGTGAGGTAGGTATTATGGCCCATACTTCAATCCTGGCTGCAGTATGCTGTTTTTGTATCTCAATATCATTTTGTTAATGTGTATTCTGATGAGTGGACTGAAATGGTGTCTGACTAGAAGAGATGAGTGTGCATATATTTAAGCTATGAATATTCTGCATGATGAGCCTTCATATGGAAACAACTTTTTTTTTCTTTTTTTAAATACAGCCTTGTTCCTGAATAAAACATGCATGATAAATGAATTTAGAGAGCATTGAAGGGCTACTGACGTTGCATAGGTATGTACAATATGTAACTCCTTCTGTTATCAAATTAAGATGAACAGAATTTTTCTTTGTTATTGAAAGTCTGAGTGTGCTTCAACAAATATGAAATGTTCTTTCTTTTGTAACATAATTTATCTAATTACTGTAAGGATTTAACCTACTATTTTAACTGCAATTATTAAAAATTTGAAGAGCACATGAATCTCTTATTAATACAGCATAAAAGTTATTCTGAGGTTTCATTGCAAGGAACATGTTTTGTTTTTAGTACTGAGGTAGAGCTTTGACTCTTAATGAGTGCTTTCCCCCCTTTTTTTCCTTCCTGCACTAAACAAGATGTTGTTTATTACTTGAAACATTATATGTAAGCCCCAAGAATATGTTACATGTGACTGGAGATTTGGCAGACTTTAAGAAATTGAAGTTTCCAGAAATTTTGCTATGTTTAAAAACCAGAGCCATGTTTTAAGGAAAGATTTCTACTTCCAAATATGTGGTTGCCTGAACCTTTTACATTTTGAAGTGAGATTCCTCTGCCAAATAACACACTGTACCTTAACTATAATAAAAAAGCAGAGACTCTGTGTTTATAAAAACATTGCAGGAGCAACTGTGATCATATTTCTTGAATTTATTCCATTTGTGTGCTCAAAAATACATTTTTATAGGAAGCTCTCTGTTGCACTGGTCACTTACAGGAGTAGAAGATGACATGTACAGGCAGAAGGCTGGCATAATGCAACAAACCAAACCGGTAAAGTACAGGAATTCAGAGCCAGACCAAAATATGAGGTCAAGGAAGTTGCTCTTATAATAATGGTGGTTATCTGTTTAATGTGTGATCTGGCACTGATACGATGTTGACCATAAGCAATTATGCATGTTTCTAAACTGGTGGTATATGAGTCCCCAGTAACTATATGCAAGATAGATGGGCTGTGAAAAATGGGCAATCAATCTATTCTTGTGGTTCTTTGTTCTTAGTGTCAATTAAAACTACAGATTAGTAATAGACAGAAATTCTGCTATTGTAAAACAATGCCTATATTCACTCTATCAGATGCCATAAACTTAAAATCCAATATTGAAACCAGTTTTATGAAGCAAGCTCGTGTCTGAGCTGATATACGCTGCATAATAGTCTTCTGAATAGATATGTGGTTAGACATGCTTTCCTAACTCTGGTTATTATTTGAAACAGCTCTCTTTACAATCAAGTTCTAACGTCGGTGTTGGTGAATGATGATCCTGTTCTGTATTTTGTCGTTCATGAGCCTGAAAGTGGGAAATGTCCTCAATGTATGGAGCTGCCAAGTGCTGACCTAGCAGAAGTTAAAAGCAGGAAGGTCTTTGTGATACCAAACAGCCTGAGCATGGATTAGGACTTGGGAGCTGCCATGCTGTGGCCCTAGCTCTGAAACCAATTTTTTATGACTTTGGTGAATTCACTGAACAGTGGCTTCACTTCTTATTAGCTTTTAGTCAACTTGGATCCCACTGTTAAAACAGTCCCAATGTCCTCCTCTATAAAAAGGGATTGCAATTCTTTTCCTGGGCTTAGGAGGATGTGGCTAGAGTAGAAGCTTTATGGTTGAGCTAACTGCAGTAGAAACTGTGCTAATGAGCAATGAAGACACCCAAGAAAGCCTCTTCTCCCCAAGAGCAAGCAGTTGCACACAACTTAGCTCCTTCAGTGTAAGTCCTGTGACCACCAGCTTGAATCTCTGTCTTTGCACAGAAGGAGCTGTGGCCACCAGCCCTCTCTCCCTACCACTGAGCTCTGTTGAGAAATAATCACTTAAAATGCAGCATGTGACTTCCTTAAAACAAGTCCCAGCTAAGGCTTAAGCAAATGGCTTCCTAAGGACTTCTCAAGGCACTTCACATAGCTTTGGCTGTTGCAAAGGTAATGGCTTGATGCTGAGTTTTTGACAAACTCAGCACTGATACCTGCAAGGCATTCCAGAGAGTGTCTTTGTTGCCTGAAATACTGAATTGAAAAAGAATTTAATGACCAGAGCACATCAGTTTATCATTGGTAATTTAGGAGCCGTATCAGTAACCTTGCAATAGTCCTGAAGTGGTTATGTGGCCATGGACTTTCATGTCACATCACATCACTGCAGCTTTGGTTGTCACTTCAAGACTTCCCAAATGTAACCTTTCATCCTTTTGCTTTTTAGAAGCATAAAAATAAGGGCTGCAAAAATCCACGATTGTGGTGGAGAACTAAATTAGGAAATATAACTGCTTACTGAAAAGCCACCCCCCTCTGAGAGAAATGTCAGTAACACAATGAACAGTATTATTCCATTCCTTTACAACCAGACTGGGGGGGGGGGGGGGGGTGTTAAAGTCTGTAAGAAAGAGCACCAGTATCCTATCAGTAAACCATGCTTCTGATGGACATTCAGTGCTCCGTTTTTGGGGTAACGCTTTCAGAGGAGTCCCTGTGCTCCTAGGCAGCCCCATGACTTGTTGCTCTGTGTGGGACGCAGCTGGAGGAGCTGTTTTCTTGCCTGCTGCTCCATTGCATAAGCAATATCATGGTAACTTTCCCCTTGTTACAGTCATGCAAGGCAATCGTTCAATCACCCGTAATAAATTGCAACTTCTGAAGTATCGTGAAATGGTCATGTGCAAAAAACGGCTTAGTCTGTCTAACACTCTCAAGTGCTGTGGGTTCCTTGCATTGAAAGAAACAACATATTCTCTGATAGGGCAGGGCTTTTTTCAACTTCTTCCATGATGTGTGTCTTATTTTAAGGGAAAATTGCCACATCCCTTCCCTTCACAGTCATGTGGACCCTCTACTACTTTCTGGTAATGAAATTTGTACTTTGCAAACATGATAGGGATTACCTCAATAGAAAAACACTGATAGCAAAATAATATTATTTTAACCTTATTTATTATGATTTTGCAGCTAAGGAAAATGTCCAGGACTACTGTTCTATTCATCTCTCTGCAGACTATCAGCAACAGCTTTGCAGGCAAAGCTGAGAACGAACAGTTATAATAAGTTGTAATAACTATTTGGACGCATTTTCAAGCAAAATGAGAAAACAGTGCAGGCTCTGTTGGCTGATGTCCTGTTATTGGGAAATGTTTCAGTTGTTTAAATAAGCATAGTTTAGGAAAAAAAAGTTAACTGCATTCCAGGTGACCTTGCAGTTCTTTCTTGGCATGTGGCATTCTGTGGGTAAATGAAGAGGTGAAAATATCTTTCTATACCAGGTTAATTCTAGTGAGCTAAATGGTCATAGAACAATTTGCTAATGTTGGGAACGTTTCATTTGGAAGGTGTCCTAGTGTCTTAGAATAATCTTCCTAGAAGATAAAGGGGTTTGCCTTGTGTGGTGGAATATTAAGGAAAATACTATAAACATTATAACTGAAGCCACCTCAGAATTCATCTCTCCGGGGAAGATATTGATCTTTATACAAAGCTGCAAAATATTTGTAAATTCACTGGTAGAGAAAGCACATTTCACTAAGCTGGAAAATTTTCTTTAGAATATGCTTTTTTCAGTTAAATTTTTGTTCAGAAAGAGTTAAAATATTTTCCTTTGATGATATGGAAATAAAACATCTTCACAAGACCAAAGTTTTACTTCAATTTTATAATTTTGGTTTTGTATTTATTTTAAATGATATATTAGATTAACCTTCTATATTATTTCCACATCATTCAAATGAGTGCTTTTGATGTTTCTCATTCAACATTTTTAAAAATATCTTTCCCATGAGAAATTTTGACTTTTTGTTCCTATTCATTATTGAAAACACTTTTTTCTTACCAGTCTTTTTCTAGTGTGTTATCTACATCTAGCATCTCTAACTCATTTTTGTGTGGAAGGTGGTGCCAGGGGCTCTAACCATGGCTGGGTACAAGGTGGTGGGTGCAGGCAGGAGCAGGAAGCAGTGGATGTGTGCAGAGGCAGCTCTGTAGGAAGTCTCACTGTATCTGCGGCATTTTCTCTATGAGCTCCAAGTCTTTCCTGTGTGCAAATAAGGTTATTATTTGCATCTTAAACCTTTTGGTCTTCTTTGGGGAGCATGATGTAGGCAATGGTTTAGGAACATCTACCTGCAAGCCTTTCCTGGGAGTCCTGGTACACAAATGACTGGGTTTCTGCTGGTCTGTGAATCTAATTCAACTCATCTTGTACACAGAAACCCAGAATTTGGGCGATGAAAGTGGGACCCATAAGATGGGGGCAGCAGGTTGTTAAACTCATTCAGCTCTCTCTAACAATTCCTCCAGTTTTATGTGAGCCAGTGGATAAGGTGTGTCATCTTTAAGAAATATGTCGGTTTCTTAAAAATAGCTGTAAGAAGTGAATTAATTTCTCATGAAAGAGCAAATAAATTTTCACCTCCAAATTCCCATGGACTTCAGGCACTCAAGCAATCTCTTGTGGGAAGTATCTTTTGCAGGAGTGGGAGATACAGAGCTCCAGGATAATGGATATAGTCTCTTGCTTCCTTTCTGTATGTCAGCAAGATCATTGGAGATGCCAAAAGGATTTGGTTGTCTAACCCTGTAGAGCCTCTTTAGCCATTTGGAGATCCTTCTGAGTTACTCTGGAGCTTGGCACATTCCCAGTTTTCTTCCTTGGTATCCTGCAGGCTTTCTCCCACTCCAGCAGCACATTTTCTGCAGGAGCCGTGCTATTCCTCCCCTGCAGCCTGTGTGGCAGAAGCTGTTTGTGAGCCTCTGTGGGAGTTACTGCTACATTCGTGGATATGTACAAGTTTTGAAGTAAAAATATGACTTAGAATAGCTCCGCCTTACTCCTATTCCCTAGAAACATGAATTCAACAAGGCTTACTTTGAGTGTCTGTGAGGCACTGAGGGTATGAAAGAGTATTTCAGAGCAAGCAAGCTCATATCATCAAACACAGCAAGCTAGTACAAAAATCTAAGTGATGTAGCATGGTGCTGATCTAAAGTGGTCTTGGATACAACAAAAGGTGAACCTTCTTTCAGAATTATAGCAAATATATATATTTTTTTAACCTGGGAAGACTTTTAGGACTGCTGTATTTATTCTCATCTTTCTTCCTAGTCCATTTTGGATGTGACTGAAACTGGCTGTTCTAGAGCTGGACTGAATGAGTGGGTTTTACTCCAGCCTCTGCCTGACCATGGGTTGGTTATAGGCACTTCAGAAAGCAAAAGCAGAGCTGCATGAATAACCTGCTACATGTCTAAGTTGTACTAACCACATGAATAAAATTTGGTTTCCAGTAGAATAGGCTGGTTTGCAACCCAGTTCATCCTGGAAGACACTGTGGGACTGCTCTAGGAAAAAAATGAATTTGCTTAAAAAATAATAGCTGTTCTACTCCTTCCCAGAGGGGAGGTGAAATCTGGAGGGGGAAAGATGAGGGGAGGCATACAGAAGGCAGCAGAAATGCATTATGAATTTATTTTTAAGTACTAATATATCCGAGTCATTTTAAACTATTTATTCTCTGGGATGCTTATGCATTCCGGCTGAACATGGGATAACAGACTATATAAGGATATATGATATTAGTGAAGAAGAAAATTACTGCTATAGTACTTTCTACTCTCAGTTCCTTCTCCACTAATGCCCTTACACCTTTCTTTTTCAGGATTTTTGTAGCATCCTAAACAGAAGGATATTGAAGGGAGCTGATTCTGCTTTGATCCTTGTGCTTGTTGTCAAAGCGCTTGGGATTGAAGAGACTGTTGGCTACAATTGACTGTGACAATTAGGAGATGATCAGAGCCCTAGAGTGGAGCACTTAAAGGGTAATTTACATGTCAGTTTGTCGAATAAAAAAAAGATATTCAGCTAAGATTCCCCCCCCCCCCCCCCCCCCCCCCCCGAGCCTTTTAAACTGCAATTTGTGCTATAGTAAGAAAAACCTGGCAGAGGAGTTAGGATAACCATTTCCATTTGAAAAGAGGCAATCATAAGGCCACTGCTGAGCCTATTGTCCACTAAAAATGCTGATTTGCAGTCAGGGAGTGAAAGAGTGGAGACATCACTAAATAGAACCTTGTGCAAGGTAACTCCCCCTTGGTGGCTTTCTAATGTTGGCTGAAGGTTTTATACACCTTAAATCCTGCATTTGCTATCATTATAACATTGTTACTGATCATGAATGTCCTTTATAACAACAAAAAAATGAAGATATTGAGGGGGAGGTGGGTGGAACAGAAGCCACCAGCCAGTTGATAGGCTCACGCCAGCTATCTATTGTACCACATCTTTCTTATTCTTGTGCCTTTTGTATGCCAACATAATTTTCTTGTCACACTTTGCACTTTGCCATTTAGGCACCTTCCGTAACAGTTTTCTCATAGGTTTTCCATACCTATTTACACTTCTTTTTAGACACACATCGAGTAGACTTTATTTTTTTATAATTATTTTTTCCACGTTTAACCTCCTGAGAAAGGAAAAGAGAGAAGGAGGTGACAGTAGCCATTCAGTTCAGAGTCTGTCTTTCTGTAGCTGTGGTGTGATTAGGCTGTAATAAAGAGTTTATACACACAGGCCTGAGAGAGGGCTGAAGTTAAGACAGCTGAGTATTAAATAACCTTGCTTATGATAAGTCCTTTTTTATATGATAGCTCTGATAAACCTAGAGTTGCTTTGACAGTAGGGTTATATGAACTTATAAAAATATCAAGAAACAACACCTCCCTCATTATTCTGCTTGGTGTGAGCTGTAGCATATGTGATATTCCTAACAGTTTAAAGAAGGGATATTAGTGGATGCATATGTGGTTCCAGTGTTTGTATATGCAAATAAGTGTATTTATTTTGAGGTTGCATCATAGGCTTTTCTTACAGAGATGGCACTGACTCCTGTTTCATCTCCCCAAGAGAAGAAATGGTCATGTATTCCAGTTTAGGAACCAGAATTAAAGGCTTTGCTTTGTCACAATTATGACCAAGTAGCATTTGCTGCCCAGACATGTACTGCCTAAAAACCCAGGGGCCACTTTTCTGGGGAAGTTTTGTGGCTTTCAGTAAGAGCCAGGCATATACACAACGTCTCTGATTCTCATCCCAGTGGCAGACCCTGGTCAAACACCACTGATTTGAGCAGATTTGGGATTTCTATTGGTGCCAGTAGGATAAGGATTAAGCCTTGTGTGTCCATAGGGTCACCAAAATGTCCTTTTCCTTAGTTATATGCCTTATGTTCTTAGGATTCTTGTATGTTGAACACCAGACAATAAAGTTTCTGTTTTTGAACTTGCACTACAAACAAGTTTTAACCCTGCTTTTGATTTATTTTTTTTTTAATACTTCAAAATACTTCTAAAACATGCAGCATTCTTCTTCATTGTAAGGTTTAATTCAAAGAAAATATTTTAAAACCTATGTTTTCTTCTTTAGGAGAATCATTATGTTGTAATTTTCTTTGGGATGTTATAAATGTGAGATGGCGGCTTTTGCCCTCCGTTGCTGTTGTACTAAACTTCTTTGAACATACCAATATTTGTATGTGTTTATCTCTGTATCCAATGTAAAGAACAAACAGGAATAAATAAAATCAGATATGAAGAGTAAACAGTACTACAGGGCGAGTCTGGAATGACTTTGGCTTCATATGTGTCTGCAGAATTGAGGCAGTGTAAATCTGTATTAAAAAAAATTAAAAAATCAGGCATAGCAGGAGGTCCTTGTCTCCCAGGTAATGGCTAAATGATGAGCAGATGAGTCATAGTCATATTGATTTAAGCATTTTTTTCCAGCCAGTCACAATGAACTCGATTTGTTTTCACTTTCCTCTCATAGGTTTGTATTTAAAGGACTCTCAGAGCACTAATTGTATAAAATTCTAGTAACTGCACATCCTCTTGCTGGAAAGATAATGAATGAATGAATGATTTGGGTTTCCTTGTAGTTCAGAATTAACTTTTTTTTTTTTTTTAAATAGGAAGGAAGATGAAACTTTTACTTAGTGACAATATATTTTGAAAAGTCTTGATTTTTGAAGAGGTGTAGGTTAAAAAGCGTCTTCCCTAAGACTTTTGGAATGTAAAGTTAATTAGAATTTAATTGAGATGTGCTTTTTTAATGAATTATCCAATCTACTGTTCCTGATACTAAATAGAATTTTAAATAAATGAATGTATGTATTGATCATAATGCCAGAAAGCATATTATAATGTCCCTAGAATTGCTTTTCTTGCTCAAAAATACATAAAGAACAAAAGTCTACATAGTCACAGTAAAAATACACTTCCTTATGGAACCCTGGGTTATACAGATTTAGATCTAATTTAGATTTTAAGCTCATGAGAATAAAACATATCAGTGTAACTACTTTTTATTTGTGAGAAATTATATTCAAGGTAAGGCATTGTACAACTTGACTTCTATTGGTTTGAAATAGTTAAAGATCATGACAAATTATGTGTAGTGAAATACTATGACCCCATTCACTACGTATCTTCTTCTTCAGTCTGAAATATATCCCTTTATTGCTTTCTGAATTAATAATATGATGTTGGACAACTACAGATGACTTCTTGTTAATTAGAATTTCAGACACACGCTATGATGCATCAGAACTTTCCCTATTTTCTGCTAATAGGACATACTGAGTGAATGACAAAGTGCTTTTCAAGAGCAGGAAGGGAAAATGGTCTCCTGATCTGAATAAGATGTTGCCTTGAGGAAAGGCACCTAACTTCTTAATGCCTGGCTTTCATCAAAATCTTTAAAAATTGTGGCACTTCCCGAAACTGGATGTTTGAGCAAGCGTTGAACTACAGACTCGTGATGTTAAAAACTCATCTGTTCTCTGTGGTGACAGAACATACTGAATATAGTTTATAGTTACATAAATTTGTAGTCTTTACTAATTGGTCTTTTTACTTGATCAGACCATAACTTCAAGGATAAAAAATAAATATAGTTCCATCATTGACTGTGGGGCAGCTGCAGCTCCACAAAATGTATACTTATCTGATAAATAACAAAGAAGGTAAGAACACCCTTTGAATGCACTTCTGATAGTAAAATGGCTTTAAAAGTCCATGCTACTTTGGGTGTTTCATCTTAAGCAAATTTGAAATTTAACCTCTGCATCTCCTGGGTTACACATAGTATTGAAAAGTCTTGCCCTAGGCCTAATATTGGTGGTATATTTCAGGTTTCATTGTACCCCAAATAATTTTAAAACTGAAACTGACAATTGACCCTTTGATGGTCTTGTCCCCTTTTTATTTCAAGCTGGGCCTTACTGTAGAGTTTGGATTAAAAGCATAGTCATAAAAAAGTCTACTCCAATGAAGTTTTCAAAAACCAGGGAAAACAAACCAAACGAAAGTCCATGTACAGATTGTTTTTCAAAATTCCCTCCCAAAAGGCAGAGCTAGGGCCAAATGGAGTTTGTTCTGTTGAGGCAGAAAGGAGTTCACTTTCTGCCAAATGGAGTTTGTTCTGTTGAGGCAGAAAGGAGTTCACTTTTGCTTACCGATCATGTAGTCCCAAGTTTTGCTTTCTGAAGGCAAACCCCAGCTGAAGCTGAGTCATGCACCTTGTATGGTTTTGCTTTGCTTGCTTATATGAGAGTGCCTTCACAGTAAATTCACTGAGATGTCTCTAACATCAAATAGGCTCCTAATCTGGAAGGCCTGTGCCATGGTCATGCACATTTTAGCCCAGTAGAGTCCTTGCAGGCCCTGCGCAGTGAAGGACAGACCTGTCTACTAAATTTATTACAATTCAGTAAGCGAAGCTGATAAAACCAGATCATTCCTATGCCTGTTGAGGGTCTGCCTGGCATATCAATGTAGTTCAACTGCTGTTAGCACTGGCAGGAGTGGTCCATTTGGGTGGAGCTATTGATTTGTGCAGTGATGGCAACAACAAAGTCAGGCTTAAGGAGGAAGAACATTTGGATTTGCTTTCAGAATTCTGAGGCTCCAATAAAAATGGTGTAAGAAATGCTGGGCAAAATAGAGATCTGCACATACATATTAATTCATTATTTATACCATTTTGGTTTTAACAGCAGTGTTGATGACATGAATATTAAACTGCAGTGTTAAAGAGGCTCTTAAGTGGACATACAATAGCAAGACAAAACATTTAATTCTGGTGAAGTGGTAAGGCATCTGAGTTGTGCTCAGTACCACCAAGATACTCAATCAAGAGATCTTAATATCTCCTCAGCCCAGAGTGTGAGGTTTTGCTTCTTTCACATACATATGGTCTGTTCTCTCTAGTGTACAAGGTACCAGACAGGAGGTGAAGAAGAAACCTTCTCATCCAAAGAGGGATGAGATGACAGCTGCAGTATCACCCTAAGCATGAAGGTGTCTGGTTCAAAAGCTGCATGAGAGAATGTGGTAGTGTTATTCTGCATATTATTCTGTGTAATCAAAACCTGTATGTTGACTTATTATGATTGAGGTAACATTGTTATCACCACCTCAAGCCTCACTCCATGATGTTAATGCTGGCTCTGTGACTGGAAGAGCAACCTGTTTTATCTTCCATTCAGTGTCTCACTTGGGTGACACCTGGGGCACTACACTGATTTCTGTCAGTTGGAAATCATGATAATTTTATAACAACTAGACTGTCTGTTCCTATCCAATTTAAAGAAAAAATGGTAAATGAAAAGGTTTCCGAAGCACAACTGTATTTATTGTTGGCTATCATAAGGAAATGAGACTTTGCATTCTTATCTGATAAATACATGGAAATGCCTTACTGTGTACTACAAAGGAAAAGTCACAGAAACAATTCAGTATTCCAGTTTGCTTTCCTAAACACTCTAAGATTTTATGAGCCTAGTGATATTTCATATTAACAATGTTTTATAACCGACATGGAACTGTTGGAACAAGTCCAGAGAAGGGCCGTGAGGATAATAGGGGACTGGAGCACTTCCTATATGAAGATAGGCTGAGAAGGCTGGGGCTGTTCAGCCTGGAGAAGAGAAGGCTGCGTGGAGACCTCATAGCAGCCTTCCAGTATCTGAAGGGGGCCTGTAAGGATGCTGGGAAGACACTCTTCATTAGGGAATGCAGTGATAGGACAAGGGGGAACAGTTTCAAACTTAAACGGGCAAGGCTATATTGGATATAAGAAAAGTTCTTTACTGTAAGAGTGGTGAGGCACTGGAACGGGTTGTCCAGGGAAGTTTTGAATGCTTCATCCCTGGCAGTGTTCAAGGCCAGGTTGGACAGAGCCTTGGGTGGCATGGTTTAGTGTGAGGTGTCCCTGTCTGTCGCAGTGGGGGTGGAACTTGATGATCTTAAGGTTCTTTCCAACCCTAACTATTCTATGATTGTATGATTATGGAACATACACACCTGGATGCTTAACATGTTCTTATTTTTTTATGTTGTATGTACAAACACTGGACAAAATAACACTTCAGATAGTTGAAGCTAACTATGGAGAAACCACAACTCAGCATACCTCCCACTGAGCTTAAACTGTCAACAACCTGTAGCGTAAGGAAGCATCACTCACTGGTGTTAACTTTGCCTTTATGCTAGATTATTAGCTGAAGGAGGAAATGTCCAGAAGAGAAGAGTTTGAAGAACAGGGCTGAAGAAATGTAATAGCTATGCTGTACCTGTGATCACAGATTGTTTTTCAAAGTAAGATAAGGTGTAGCTGCAAAAGGTGTAGAGCTGCTTTCCCCGCTCATCTGCCAGTAAAGCAGGTGATTTCTGAGGATCTGTTTTCCCCAGGCTGGTGCAGGAGGTCTGCATGAGAGAGGCACTTACTGACAGAGATGGTCCTGTAACGCACTAATAATGCCTATAATAAATTTGGCCTTAATCCTGACTACAGAGAAATAATTTCCCTTGACCAGCAAGGCTTTGTTGTATATATAATTAACAGATTAGAGCATGCACTTGGAAATAAAGTAGAAGAGAGACTTGAAAAAAAAAAAGGAAATTGTACTTACTGAGCCATAGTCTCTAGTTATGCATGTGGTTGTAACTCCATTCAAGAAAGCAGCATTGCTCTGCATGGAGCAGAGACCTGCACCTGAGTTTCAAGTTCTTCGGCTTCATTTCAGGGCATCAGATGGGACACAGTGGTGCAAAGTGGCCCCAATGTAAATGGGAATTGGATCTTTCTCTGGCAATATGCAAAGAGAAAATTGTTAAAAGTTAACTGTTTGAGCATCTTATCTTACTAAACACACACACAAATACCTTATGAATTCTGAGCTTGACCTCATTGGCCCCAATGTAAATGGGAATTGGATCTTTCTCTGGCAATATGCAAAGAGAAAATTGTTAAAAGTTAACTGTTTGAGCATTTTATCTTACTAAACACACACACAAATACCTTATGAATTCTGTAGCTT